ACAGCTACAGGACAGTCAGGCTGAGGCCTCTAAAGCAGAGAAAAGGACATGGTTAGAAAAGAATGTGGGGCTGCATGATGATGGGGTGTGGTGCTGACAGCACACCAGACGCCCTGCATGCCCTCACAGCCTAATGCCCTTTGTAGCTCGACAAAGGCTCTCTGTCGGACACCCAGGTGTGAGTCAAATGGTGTGCCGGTTACCCAAAACTGGGTGGGGACCTGGTTTGAAGCAGTAACCACTTATGTGTTATCTTGACGTGATGCTTATCAAAGGAACTCAACTACAGTTCAGGTGCGGGTGCAACAGTTCAAAAGGCCTGAGGATCCTTTCATGCAGTGGCAAATTGACGATTGTAAAGGGAAACCTGGGCTCTTATAATCTGTTTTCCTAGTGGGTTGCTGCCTCTGCCTCTGTGTCTAGCAAACACTTGATGACGGAGATAAGCCCTCAGTGGGCACTGCCCTGCCGCTTGTATTATGATCAAGGGACGCACTTCACAGGGAAGGTGTGTCAGGCTGTGGCTGCGTTGTTGGGGTGATGGACTGGGATCACCCTCAGTCTGCTGGAACAGTGGAATGAAGGAGCAGAACTCTGAAAGATCGACTAGACAACAGACTGAAGGAACACCATGGGTAGATGCTCTGCCTATGTAGCCTGCGGGCTGGATCAAACAGATCTGTGTAAAAGAGCCTGTTTGATATCATCATGGGCCAACCAACGAAACTTCCTGGAGGACCAAATCTGGCTAATGGATCATTGAATTTGCTAATTCTCTATTGTAGTATTGTAGTTTGTTAATTGAAGTGGTGCATGGGGCTGGTGAACAGGTGCTGGACGTTTGGGGCCCTCCAGCAGAGGGAAGACACGACCTGATACCTGGCGAGTGGGTGTGGGTGAGGAAGATGTACCCTGCCAGATGTTGCAACCCCACTGGGGAGGGACCATATCAAGTGCAACTAACTAACGACTCTGCCATCTGAGTGACAGGATGAGATCGCTGGATCAACGCGTTGCACTGCCACTGAGCCACTGCACCAGAGACTGAGTGAACATTATTATTATGTTGTTACTGTTTCTGTGTCTGTTGAGCTTCCTGAGGGGGGCCGACAGTGTGCCTGTTAAGTGTAAGGAGTTTTACTTTGATAAATGGGGATATAGAATCCATACTTTATCAATCAGCCACAAATAATAATCAGAGCTCATGTTGGGATTGTATTGCTATAAAAGATGCTCATGGGAGTAATCCCCTTTGATAGAGGTGATTATTTAGGTTTATTGGCATGGGTAAATAGTTCTGCTTTTAGTCTGAGTGTAGCTTAAATGTATTGGAATGGAACGAACCATACACTTCCTGCTATAATCACAGTTCTAGACCATCCTCTATTAAGGTGACAGACAGCTGTTTAGGTGAGCAAAGACTAAGCAGTACTTGTATTCCAGACAATTATGAGCACATTAATGACTTAGCACAGCACATTTATGATGAAGAACAATAAAAATATATCATAATTATAATCCAGATGATTGGGGCATTGGTGCGTGGCTACAGTCTGTGCTGGGAACATGGGGAGGGTCTCTGGTTCAATACATATTTGTGGGTCTGGTATTATTCATAATGATCATATTGTTAATATCCTGCTTGAACAACATGTGGACTAGAGTTGCTGCTTCTGTGCTAATTGTACGCCATGAAGGGAACACAGGGGTCAAGAATGACTTCCTGGGAAAGGTTTCTACATCTCTTATCTAGAAGTAGAACATAATTGGTAGAACAATAATGTTCTAAGGGAGGACTGAAGAATGAGGAGATAAGAGAGATGCCCAGGAAGTGGGATAATAATATCATTTTCATGTTTTTGTATGTTTTTGCAAACTATGCAGTCTAGTGGCTTGACGTAGGTTTTGTGCTCAAATGTATATAAAGATGCTGCCTGTCCTTGGTCAGTAAGATAAGGGGCATGTATTTGGTAAGCTCAGAATATGAAAAGAACCAACTGTTGTCTAGTCTGCAACTTAGATATAATTAATTGGCAGGTGTTGCTTTTTTATCATTTGTTTAGAATATGTCGTTGTAACTCTTTGTGTTTTAAGGTTTAAAGGACCATCTTCAGCTACTTATTCTTTAAGTCTGGTGGTCGCAAGCTGGACTTCCATATGCATATGAATAAAGGGACTTCTGCTTCACAGACACCTGACCTTTGTCATTTGTTTGACACTACAGTACCAAACTTACAAGAGTAATAGAATATATTTGTCAATTTTTCTGCTGTGATACAATTAGTTGATCATTCACTCAGGATTTACAGTACATAAATGAAGTAAAACGTGCATCGATTCTAACATTTGTTGTCAACTCATAGGTTATTTCAGGCTCATATAATCTCATTTATGTTCTCATGTACACATAAATGTGCATTTAGTATCATGAACCAAAGTTTATCAAATGTATTTGGAATAATATTTTAACTCTTGAGAATTGTAATGTGTGTATATAGAAGTTTTACACTCAACCATCCGTTGGCCAAGCGTTCATGATGAGTTCAAACTTCACACTGAAGTGGGATGGGCTGTGTTGCCCCAGATCTGATTTCTTCAGCTGCTTGCTCTGTGTGTCAGAGAGAGAAAAGAGAGCTTTTGCTTTGCGTTGCTTAGTACACCTTTCCAAGTAAGCCAGTGTCACGTACTTGGGTCTATAGCCACAAGTGAGTGAAACTCGGTTTGTCCTGGCTGTAGCTTTTTACTGAATATGATCGAACGTTTATAATATCAAGAAAAGCATTCAATTTCATCATTCAGGCAAAAAATACACTTGGTTTGCGAAACAATTTTTTTTTCTGTTGCCGAGAGAATCTTGGGCAACATCCTGCTCTTGACCGGCTCACTCTCTCAGCCTGTCGTCTGGGGATAAAGGTATAGTCCTGACTCCAGCTGCATGGTTAGGTGGAGAGAAGAGAAGCCAGTAAGCTAACCAATTAAATGAGTTGAGTACTTCTGTATTAAGTAGTAAATCACAGGTGTGATTGGCTAGAGGGTTATCAGGTATAATCTTGATAATACACCTTTGCAGGTCCCTCATTGGTCGATTATCCTTTGGGTGACGGACAGTGACCTCTGACCCCTTGTCTTGGGAACTGGTCTGAGAAGAGTCACGCTGCACCATGTTTCATGAGGGAGGTTCGGAATGAACACAGCTTTACTAAGCCCTCTTATCGGAGGGGCTCCTTTTAGTTCCATTCCTAGGCTTTTACACAGAGGCCCACGATGCTTGGTCAAGGAGAGCGAAGAGGAGGGAGCAAAACTTTGAAATGAGTTGCTGGTTGATTGGTTAGGATGTCATCGGATGTGATGTTGACGTCCACCCAGGCGGTTCCTTGTTGGTGATGAGTGGTGACCTTTGACCCCCTTATCTTGAGCGCCAGACTGAGATGAGTCACGCTGCACCATTTTTCAGTAGGGAGGTTCAGAACCTGCACAGCTTTACAGTGTCTTACCCACTGTTCATCAGAGGGGCCCCTTTCAGCTGCATTCCTGGTGTTTAACACAGAGGCCCAAGCCGCTTTGTGAGAGCGACAGAAAGATTATTAATTCTTGATAACACTCAATTCTTCGTGTAATAAAATGTCTTGCTGCTACAGCGTTATGAGCACAAGATACTCTTTGACTCATATCTGCCTCGAATAATTCCTGTCTTTGTGATCCCTATCTGGAATCAGCCATTTGTATTGAGATAGATCAATTACATGCTATTACTCTTCTTAGTTTGCTGCATGTTTTGCTGTGACATTAATAATATATATTAATAATATATTTGTATATTTCAAGTCCATGTACAGATATTTCTATTTATTTTTCTCTGAATTGATTCCTAATAGCCATAAAGCACTCTCGCTCCAGTTTTTAATAGCCCAGTTAAATGTAGCCATCACATCCCTACAGCGCACACTTGGCTTATGGGTATGAGTGTGTTTTTCAGAGGAGAAGACAACCACTGGATCTGCAAACCCTGGAACTTAGCTCGTGGCCTGGACACTCACATCACAGATAACCTGAATTACATCATCCGACAAAGGGAAAGCACCCCAAAGGTAACGTCATTTCCATAAGAACTGGTGCAAGTCAAGAGAGGCTGTTTGGCCCACGTGGCCCTGGCAGGAAATCAGCCTACTGGCATCCCTCCGCCCTGCAGGCATGCGAGCAGTGATGCACCCAGCTCCAGCCAGCCGGAGTTCTAGTCCAGATCAGGGCTCGCGGTCTCCGCGTGACTTCGGTTTGCTTCGATTTCAACCCCAGTGGATTATTGTAATGCCCTGCATGCTAGCGGCTGTGCTCAGATCCTGTGAAATCTGTCATAATAATTAATAATCGCCTACAGTTATATAGCGCTTTTCTGGACACTCCACTCAAAGCGCTTTACAGGTAATGGGGATCCCCTCCTCCGCCACCACCAGTGTGCAGCCTCACCTGGATGATGCACCAGTTTGCTCCCACACACCAGCTCTCAGTGGGGAGGAGAACAGAGTAATAAAGCCAGTTCAGAGATGGGGAGTATTAGGAGGCCATGACTGGTAAAGGCCAGGGGGAAATTTGGCCAGGACGCCGGGGTTACACCCCTACTCTTTTCGAGAAACACCCTGGGATTTTTAATGACCACAGAGAGTCAGGACCTATGTGCACAAGTTGCAGCAACAGGAACAATAAAAAGCACAGGACCTATGTGCACAAGTTGCAGCAACAGGAACAATAAAAAGCACTATTTCAGTGAGAAGGGTGAGCCTGTTTAGTCGAGCAAACCAGATGTGAATTCATTTTTCGAGCCTTGATACAATTCACATCAGAGTCTTAACAGATTTTAAATCGTCAGGCATTTTCTTGACGGCAAAGGTCTCGCGGTGGATGCTGCAGTGCGTCCATTCATTTCTGGAGCAACCTCTCTAATTCGTGCAACTACACCGCTGTGTCGGCTTGTCATCACCGTCTGTACAAACTCCGACACATTTTATCCAGTTGAAGCCATTCTCTTTGATAAATTCATTCTGAAGCTGAGATATGTGCTCTCCTGTAGTTCCTGTGGGTAGCGGCTTACAGAACAGAAAGTCCTCATGGGACGTACCCTCAAACTCGTATCTAACGCAAACGAGCCAACTGTTTGAATCGACAACATGTACAGACTCATCAAATTGCAGTGAAAAGCATCTGCTCATCTTAACGCGCTCTATCAGCGTAGTTTTGATATCATCCGCCATATCAATAATTCTGTGAATGACTGTGTCTTTCAGAGGGGGCAGCAGGTCGAGCTGTTTAGCAGCTTTTTCCCACACATAATACGTGTCAGCTCTTTTGCCAACGGTAAATAAGGTTCTTCAAAAATAGTGTGGGGCTTACCTGCTTTAGCAATCCGCAAGCTCGCATTTTTCCCTGTTTCCATTTCAGGAGTCCGTCTCAGAAGTTAAAAAGTTTTTATTTAATGTGCATGGTAGCGAAACACAAGAGACGCTCGGTGTATTTTTCTCAAATTAACCTAGAACAGTTCTTAAATATGTTTTCTGTTATCTATCACGCTTTCCTGTGCTCACAAGATCGCCAGCGTTCGTAGTACACATTTCTATGTTTTCCTGTGCTTACAAGATTGGCTGTGTTCCAAAATCTCGCACATTCTCCTCCCTCCCTATTTGCTGGAGATACGTTTTTTTTAATACAATTGGTCACTTACGTTCGTAGGTCGCATTCCTATTGAATGGACACACTTGGTTAAACAAATATTTATTACAATGACAATACACTACACACAACAAAACATACAACACACAAGTTACTTGTATGTACAGTACAGACAAGGCATTTCAGAGGCCTAACATTGTAATCACCCAGAAAAACCCCAGACTTCTATTAAGTATGAAAATCTTACATAATGCATACAGAGGATAATAATGCATAAGAACAAGTAATAGGTTTATTCTATGCTGAAAAGAGAAGAGAGAAAACACAACGTTTCGACTGTGGAGCCTTCAGGTGTGAGAAAGGCAGGGCAGACAGCAAAGATTAAATAGCACAGGAGAACAAAAGCTGGGAGAGGGGAGGAGGCAGGAGGGGCAGAGAGGCAGAGAGGCCACTCAGGAAGTGCAAAGTGGAGAGGGGTGAAGAAAAGTGTGAAGTCAAAACCTGCATGAAAATGGTCTATATTCTGCATGAGAATTCATGAGAATAGTCTAAACAGCATTCTTTTGCATAGGATATATAGGAACAAGTAATAGGTTTATTCCCTGCTGAAAAGAGAAGAAAACACAACGTTTAGGCCTTCTTCACACTTGCTTCCAAGGCTTCCACGCCTGCAGAAGGCTCCACGGCCGAAACGTTGTGTTTTCTTTCTTCTCTTTTCAGCAGGGAATAAACCTATTACTTGTTCCTTTGCAGCCTCCGCATGCTGACGCAGCTCCCCACCTGAACTACATAATGCATAAGAGATAATCTGCTTTTTAAATTAATGCAATGCAAATCTGTCTCTGCACCTCAGATGCCAAATAATAAATTCTACCCTTTCTAAAAATGCATCCTAAGCAAGGAAGACGTCTCTAACCGAGGTATCTTTTACACAGGAAACCCAAGAATAACCAGCTCTCTCTCACATGGTTCACATACCTGGCTCCAATCTGGTTTTGTTTGGATGTTTATGAAGTAGGGGCTCTCGCCTGGAGCAAGCTGCAAGTTCAATCTCCTCTCTTCTTGTCCTCCATCCTTCTTCCTCTCTGCCCTCTTAGTGCGATCTTATAGTGTGTGTTTCTGCACTGCTCATTAGCAATCATTAACCCACAACTTACCCAGGCATGCCAAGGTCAACTTTACCTTGGTTTCCGATCAAGGGACCCCCACATCCCAGCAAACATCCTCTCTGCTTTGATGCTGGAAGTGTTTACTCTGCCAAGTGTCACAAACTTTATCTGAAATCTAAGATACACTTCTCAGTCTCCTCAAGCTGTAACATGCACTCAATTGTCCAGTTAAAAGCCTTGGGAATAAATGCTCCATATGTTTACAGTATAGGTAAATGTTTTATGGTAGGTCTTTGTTGTAAATGTCTGTAGATTTTATTTTTATTTTTTGTTTCGGCAACACTGATTGTACTCATCGGTCATGTCAATAAAACATCTCGAATTGAATTGAATAAAAGATAACTTGGCTCTATTCCATTTAAATCTAGGTAGTCTAAAGCGCTGCCAGGAAGGACGCAGCTCGGATACCTGTGCAGGGGCAGGCCATGTGCTGCTGTTTTCATTGTGTTTGTTCAGGTTGCCAAACCAGGCAGCCACAGCGACTGTCAGGACAGACTCGGTGAAGGCCCTGTCCTTCTGTTGCTCACGTGGGGAGTTTGCTCACAGGCGGGGCGCCGCCCTGGGGGTCTGGGGAAAGGAGCTGTGGGGCGCGGATGCCCTGGGTGGGGTGCCTGCCGGCGAAGACCCCGGGACTGATGAGCCGTTTCATTCTCCTGACCAGGTCGTGTGCAAGTACCTGGAGAGCCCCGTGCTGTTCGAGAGAGAGGACGTCGGGCTGGTCAAGTTCGACATCCGATACATCGTCCTCCTGCGGTCCGTGAGGCCTCTGCAGCTGTACGCCTACGACGTCTTCTGGCTGCGCTTCTCCAACAGGTATGGGAGCGCAGCGCGGCCGGCTTGCTGCTGGGGCTCAGCCACCCCCCCGGAGCCTGAGCTGCTCGGGTGTCAGTATGTCCGGAGCCCAGCCGGAATGAGCGGGCCCCCCAAGGAAAACCAGGTGGCTTCTGTGAGTGACGTGGGTGGTCCAGTAGGTGGCGCTCTTCCCTCTGAGCCAGGATTTGACTCAAAACCTTTGAGACTCAAAACCTTCTTCTTCAGAAAAGCCTTTACTTAACTGGTTCCATTCTTCACCCTTCTGCTCTTCTTAATACCATCTTCCACGGTCTCCTCTATTATTATTGTTGTAATTATAATTGTGTCCTATCTTGTGAAATTTTCTTATTGTTGTAGTCTTCTTATTTAT